TAATCAACGACTGACTCATGTTGCAGCGTTTGCCAAGTGTCTGCTATTTATGCAACAGCAAGTGGACAGTACAGACACATTAGGTGAAAGATCACGGGCTGATTAGCCAAAAGGCATTCTGCTGTGTGTGTTCAAACATAGACTACGATAAAATATCTTACAAAATGGCCCTGGCAAACCCAGGAAAGTACTTCATCCCCACTTGTGTGATTCATCCTTTTACTACCACAGCTGTGTACTGCTGTCCTAAATGCAGACTCATGTGCCGTGTACTTACGTGGTGGGGCGTAGGAGCGCGGTCTTGCCCAGACGCAGGATGACATGTCCTCGAGGGTTACGGATCTTCTTGACATCTGGACTCTTGAGCAGGGAGAAACGCCTCACCAGATTATAACCTGGTGGAAAATAACATGCATCAGATTTCACATCAAATGGGAAAAGAAAGAAACTTCATGTTGAACTGATGTGGTTTCTCTGTTCACCGGTGATGTTGTGCCGGGTCGCCTGGGGAAACCTCCATTCGTCCACTTGCAATAAGGGACACAGTTCATCTGCAGAGACCAAGACATGACACGAGATAAAGAGAGCAGATACAGTATATACAGATACAATATAATATATATCTATACACAAAAAATATATGTATCAAATAGTGTTAAAATAATGATAACTGATGATATGGACGCATCTCAACAGTGCCTCGTAGAGTTGTTGGGGTTTTTTTATGTGGAGGAGGTCTTAGCATTACAATCATCAGGGTCTATAGTTCTTCGTTATACATTTAGTAATGGTGTCAGTCAGTGTGTCAGCCATAGATTTACTCACTGCTGTGGTCTTGATGCTGAAGTTGAATCCTCCACAAACGCACACTGTTTTTTCAAGATGCTATTTTAAATGAAAACACTTTCCCATGGTGCCTGTCCAACACGTGTATCAGTGCCCATTAAAATAGATTTTGTAAAAACAAACTGCAAATCACACATTTATTTTAACAGGACTGCAGTTTTCTATAGATTTATAGAAACTGCAAGGCTAGGTTCACTTAAAAAATCTGATTGTCGGAATCTCTGGAGAAGTGGTCTCAAACATAACCTTTCAGTCTAAGTGCACGCTGAAGTGGACACAGTTTGTGTGAGACAGCTGGGAACTTTAAACAGACATTTGAGAGCAAGAGAAATATTGATCTAAAAGAAAGCAAGAGTTTTGTGCAGGCGGACGAGAGTCAAAAAAAAAAAAAAGAAAAGTGTAAAACACAGAAAGTGAGATAAAATGAGGGCACGGCAAATGCAGAGAGGAACACAGCCCTATTCTGACAGGTTGTCTAGCACCAGGCTTGTCTGTCGCAGGCCTTTGATGGATATGTTCTCACCCTGTCAAGGCAGGTTACAGAGAAAAGTGTTGCCTGTCAGAGAAGCCTGAACGCCTACTGGGAGGTAGGGATGGGGGGAGGGAAGGGGAGGGAAAAAAATAACTTTGCCAGTTCAGGTAGACCTTGACTCTGTGAATCACTGTAATCCAAAATAAATTGATCTCTTTGGGGCCAAAGACCAAAGGACCTGAGCATGAAAAAAAAGAAGCTTCAGTTTTATTTATTTATTTATTTATGTTTTAGTCTAGGATAAGATATGGAAATGAAAACAACTTCAAATACATGTTAGGGTATTGATGTGATATTTGATTAATGTGATGCTTTGGTACATCACTGAACCAAAGCATCTGAACTTCTTTACTGAAAGTAAAGTAAATTAAAGACACAAGGGTTAGGATTCTATGTTTTCATCTCAGCTGCATTTTTGGCCTGGTAGTAGTAGTAGTAGTGAAACACATTCCTCAGCTTCATTATCTGGTCTCAGATCTAGATCTAGGTCCAGTCCTGAATCTTAAACCTTAGAATGGAGTCCTTGTCTCCGACTCCAGCACCACAACACAGACTACTGCTGTAAGTGAGACATTTATTTAAATATTAGAAATAATTATGCACTTCCAACCATACTGTTTCTGAGTCTTCCGGCAGGATGGATTTAATTAAATGAAGTTTTTTAATAAGTCTTTCTTTGATGGATCCTAAAATTCAGGACGCATCGGGTCGCCTCGAAACAGGAAATGACACAGTCTCCAACCAAGCAAAACTTATCCATGCTGGAAGTCACATCAAAAAGAGGTAGAAAGAGTTGAATATAATTACTTTCATAATAATCTCCAACTGACTTTAATTATGAGTCGGGGATTTAAGGAATTCAATTTCACGGAGCCAAGTGCAACAAAGAATTAAATCACATTTAGCAATGCATCAACTATTATCTAGTTTATCTTTTGATCCCCCGCAGCTACGGCTTGTCTTGATTTGAAAAACAAAGAGTGCAGCACGCCCCGGCCTCTCTATCTGCACTGGCTCTTTTCTTCTACGCAGCAAATTGAAGTGTGGAAACAGAGATGTCAAAACTGTGGCGTTAAGAGGAAGGGGGGAAAGAAAGTCAAAGGAGAGGCTCAAACAGACTGTGATTTTCAGACACGTTAAGTGATTCACAGGAGGAGACAGGTAACATCAATCACAACTTTAAAGTCATCTGTGGCCAATGACCATGCGTCTTTTTTTGCAACCTCTGTGTTTTCCTTTACTCATACACAAACCCTTAACTGTATCAGTGGAATGGTTCACCTTAAATTTCTGCAAACTCAGCACACACTTCTGTGTCTGCAGACTCACAGAAACTCCCTAGGTTTCATCTAAAGGTTTGTGTTTACGTCCTAACATTGGAGGATTTATCTCAATAATTTCTATTACACTTATTTCCAGTCAATTAAATCCAGATTACGGCTGTGTCTGGTTGTAAAGAGCCCACCTGGGCTGCAGTTGTACTGCAGTAACTGCAGAGAGAAGAGAATTGAGAGGAGAGAGAAATAACCAGTAACTGGACCTGCTGGTCTTAAATTATTAACTGGCATCAAATGTCCAGGAAATTCCAACCAATCACATGGTCTAAAAATGCCAGATAAATGATTATATTTGGGTACGTGGTGAACATTTCAACTCAGAGGAGAGGAGAGCAGTGATAGAAAAATAAAATGGACATTCCTTCATTAATTCAATTATTCCTTAGTCTAATGTCTAATGAGGACAGGGTTCATCCTGGAAATCTCACCACATCTAAATTGTTGATTTAGCCCAATCCCACATCTGCACAGCTCTGCAGTGTGGGAGGAAACACCAGCTTTCATTTACCTTCAACTTTCATTCAAGAGGCTTCTTCAGTTCAGAACTAAAATTGCCTCTTGAATGAGAGATGAAAATAAACCATGACAGTCCACTTGCACACGAAGACACAACACAGATTCAACACCAAGAACAACATCAGCTGAGATCAAACCAGTGACTCAGAAGTCAAACACAACAAAATAAACTATAGAAAACCGTAAGGAGAAAAGTATTTAAATGTATGGTACAGATTTCTACTTGAAAATTTGACATTTTACCAGATTGAGAGGAGAAGAGCTGAGAGGAGAAGAACTTATTGTATTAGTTAATACTTTGCATCAATACATTTTCATGTTTTTCACTGTTGAAGGCATGTCATTTCCTAAACATCTAATATTTTGATGAAATTGTACTGATATTTTCACACGACAGTTGCTGGAGTTTTCATTACAGACATAGCTTGTATTATGTCCTAACGCTCAATCAGTAAATGTGGCACACTCCTTGAGATGTCAACAGAAGACCGGACTGGCTGATCTAATTTCCAGCAGAAAGCTGAATGCAGCCTGACTTGTCTGCCATGTGCCTCATCAAAACACTATAGCAGAATTGATTGCGTTTCTATATAATGCATAGCAATACTGCGTACACTTATTCCAACGTGAAGTGTATTCTCACGTTTTGTCTGACTCCGCTGAGTGGCTGGATATTATTTTTTGGACCGCTGCATGTCAGTGCACTTCGGCAGAAGACACACTCCAGAACTTAAAGCCCTATTTCCTCTCAACTTGAACTCTACTTTCTCTCAAGCTGCGATCAAAGGAATGTGCTCGCTTGTTGACAAGCTAATTAGCACAAAGTATGAGTGTCACTCCGGGATCTGGCTAGAAGCTGCGTGTAGCCTTTAAGAGATTGGATGGTCTTGGCAAGGTTCACTTCATCTTTGATGGGTTATTTTTGACTCTTGCCAGAGGTAAGTAATGATACTAGACTGGCACCGATGCAGTCAACTGCTGTGTGTGTGTGTTCTCTCAAGTCACGCCATTGCCAAACATTAGAATGGGGAATTAACCTCTCTAAGAAAAATAAAATGACGTCTCTCTAACTCCTTCACTCACTGAAATACAAATTAAGCTCATTACGGCAAACATTTTACTCTGCATGTGTACTTTTTACCCTTTCTGACCCTACGCTGATCCCCAGAGCAATGGGTGACCTCTACCGATCTTTTAGAAGGTTTATTAGAATGAATGGCCTTATCTGTCCCGATAAGTGTCCTGCTGTGGCCACAATGTGCTCGAACCAACTGTCTCAGAGTATTAATTCTGTTTTGATAGCAGCAAACATTTGGCAAATGGCTTTCATTTAGAAGAGGAGTTGTGCTCAGGGTGTCAGAGTGTGTGATGGGTGATAAGAGCAGGTGTGATAGTTGTTCAATGCGCTTCACAATGTGACAGCCCAACAATAATGGGACCGCTCCGTGAATGAGAAAGTTAGAGGCGGATGAAGTAATTCCGGAGCCAAGAGTTGTTAATCATGCAAAATGCAAAGGGGGGAAAAACATAGCTGGCCTGATGATATATGTTATAATTATGCATTGTAAATGATCACAAAGACAAATGGGTGAATCAAAAGGATGATTAAAGTTTAAATTTAAAATTAAAAAAAAAGAAAAAGTTGTTTAAATGGGCTGTATTTGCTGTATGGACACAGTCGAGCATCTGCTGCTGTCTTAGAGGTCAAGGGTCACAGCAAAGCAATGTGTTCACACTGATGGTGTACAAAAGCTCTAGTACAACCAAACTGAATGTAAAAAGTAATTCTGAGAAAATATGCAATACATTCAAGGAGTCACTGTAGCCTGAGTCAGATTGATTAAATAGCCTAGACTACCAGTTACCAGAAGTATTATAAAGTGTAATCTGTGCAGATATAATGCAATGTTAATCTAACAGCTGTTTTAGACAAGGTCGTTTTAGACTGGTTCAACAAAAAGTATTACATACCAGCTAAACTACTATTACTACTACAAAAGATTACAGCAAAAAATGTAATATTTTAGACAAACAAAATGCATGCGTACAAGATACTACATGTTGTTAATAATAATAATAATAATAATAATAACAATAATAATAATAATATCTTTAAAAAGACAAGGCCGACACATCTTCACGGGAACATTATATAAAGAGCTTATCTGAAACAAAATGTCGCCGTCCAGCAATTTAGTTCTTAATAAACTTTGTTTATGTGGTATAATGGGTCCAGTAAACACCACTGCCTGTCTCTGTCTGGTCTGGTGGGAACTAAAATAATAAACACCAACCTTGTTTGGCTGACAAATCTAAAATTCTACATAAAATAGTGAGCAAGGGAGATGAGATGCTGATTAATTACTGAATCAAGGAACGCCGTGATCAGTAAGAACCGTCGTAAAATATAAAGACTGACGACGTGTTTCGCTAAGCTGACAAAAAATAGCTAAGCTCACAAAAAATTGTGAATTTTCCAAACAGACACAAATATTCACCGATTTACAGTTTCAGACAAACAG